CCCGAAAACAACACGAAACCCAACGCCCACCAAGCCCAGGGGGCACCGGAGGAAGCGCCGGCGCAGGCGCGCGGAGGGCGTCGGCTTGGGGCGGAGACCAAGGGCCTTCGATTTTGAAGTTGCAGAAGGTACATATATGGGGGTTTCCGAAAATAGGGGGCCCTAATATAGTACCCGGTACCGTAAATAATAGGATCCTTATTATAAGGACCCCTCTATGTCAAAGCATATACGAGTGCCTTAAACGGTTACCATTGGGTTACAATAAGGGTTCCTTCACAGGTTCGAAGGTGTACTACGGGTTAGTGTAAGGGCTCCGTAAAGGGTTCTGCAGAGGCTACGATAAGGGCTACTAATTTGAAAGTGGTTGTATCGGGATTTAAACTCTAGCCTTCACGGTTCTAGTGCGTTTGGATGACTATGTATGGAACTTCACATGTTTATGGTACTTGGGGTGCGGTATTTGCTCTCCATGCCGTTCCATTTGCTCAGATGTAGCGAAGAGTGCCCTTCTCCGAAACTCTTGCTTTTCGTCGCCACGAGGACCCACAACCCGACACCAATCCATCTCAGCTGTGGTTTGCTGTGAAATGTGGTCGGTTACCCTACGGTTGAGACTAGTTGGGGTGGTTGGGGCGGGAATACATGCCGACGCAAGCGCGTGATAGGCACTGCATACACCCCTAAACCCTAAATCCTATACCCTCAAAACGGCGCCTCGAAGGCGTTGCCGGCCTCCAAGAGCCAGAGGACTGCCTCCAAGAGCGCTAGGCGAGGGTAGTTCTAGGGCTCTTTTAAAACAGGGCTCTTTCAGGGTTCTATTTACGGTCCCTTTAAAGGAATCTATAAGTTTAGTGTGATAGAACAAATATAGGGGTCTAAATCATTACCAGTACTATTTGGAGGGGCTCCTTATTATGATTTTCGCGCAACATGCCCCGAAACCCCTATTCTGATTATTAAGGCCCCTGTAGTAGGTGGGGTAGTTCTTCAAATTAGGGTTTAGGGTTTAGGGCTTTGACTTTAGGGTTTAGGGCTTTAGGGTTTTAGGGTTCTGGGGTTTAGGGTTTTGGGGTTTGGGGTTTTGGGTTTAGGGGCCATGTGGGTAGTTCTCTAAACTACTGGTCCTTTTAAAGGTTGCTTAAAGTGATCCATTAGGGTGTCTATAGGGTTTAGGCCCTATCTAGGGACCCTAAAGCTCATGAAAGCCCGAAACCACTAAACCCTTCACCACCTACTCCACTCAGCCCCAAAACCGCGAACTAATGACGGCCTTACGGTCGGGAGGGATTTCCCCAAGTTCTTCAGGTTCAGGGGCATCAGGTTGTGACTCGCAGTCCCGGGGCTTCGAGGGCGGGGCGTGGGGTTCAGGCGCTCCGAAAGCCGCAACCCTAAGACGCTGAAGCCCGGAAGAATCCTGACATTTAGGGTTGAGGGTTTAGGGTTTAGGGTTTAGGGTTCATCCTCGTCAACCCTAGCGTGGTTTGGCTTGAAGGTCCATCGATAGTTGCAACCGGGTTTCAACAAAGCCTCAACCTCCTGAACCAAAAAAACCCTGGTAAGAGTATCTTTCAGCACATATAACCCAAAGAACTGCATTGCTATAGCCTTCAGTGCACTCGGAGCAGCTGTGTCAATTTGTATTGCGAGTGCGCCTGTCAAAAACCGCCGTGTCACGCCGGGGGGTCTTGGCAGCATGCTGGGCCCGGCTAACCTTCATAGCCCCGATGTGGTCGTCGATGGCCAGGAACTCGTAGAAAGGGCCTCGGGGCATAGCCCGCCGATAGCAGACCCGCTCATCCGGACGCATGGCCCCAACAGTTTCCACAAGTCTGAGGTGGGCCTCCTGCGCCAGTTCAACAGCAAGGGAATCTCCCATGGCCAAAGTTCGCAGAGCCAGGTAACTAGGGCGCCCCTCATGCTTGGCGGGGTCAAAGGGCCGGAAACTCCGCAGCTCCCTGGCTTGGAACCGGACGCCAATGCAATTGCGGCGGGCCCGGGCCGAGCTGACTATGAAAGTGTGATAGAACTCACGCAAATCGTGACCTCGTTCGCGCCAGGCGACACCAAAGTGAACATTGACCCCGGGGCCAGCGTTCGCATCTGATTGGTAATAGTGGCCATGCGGCTGTTCAAGACGGTCGGGTTCACGATCAAACGGTCGTGCAGGTGGTCCTTTGCGACCGTGAAAAGGCCGACGGCCTCGTCTCCGTCTCTGCGAAAAGCATCCGTGGGAAAATAGCCAAGGCCCCTGCTTCGAGGCATGCACGAGGGCAGGCTTTGCATGGTCGGGCCGGGGCCCGGGGAGGAAGGACCTCAGGATCCTGGCAGGCAGCACGGGTGATAGGCTCATGGAGGTAGGGCCGCGGGTCGAAGCTGGGCTTGTAGGGCCACTTGCTTGCAAGTAGAGTTGGGGCCGGGCGGCAGCACTCCAGGCTTGGAGGGCCCGACACTGACTGACGCCCAACACACTCACCAATATGCCAGAAGAGACCTGTATACTCTCGCCGACATTCCTGGCATTAACCCAACTTCACTCAACAACCTGACCCTACTTCTCCCTTCCCGTGAACCTTCAAGGAGGGCATAGGTAGTATGGGGACCTTGATAAGTAAAACACTTTTCGTAGGGTTCCTTATGATAAGTATATATAATACTACACTCTACCCCCTAAAGCCCTACTCCCATTATCAAAGCCCAAAGAACCCTCTTAAGGAATCAAGACCTGGGGAACCCAGTTTTAAGGAGCCCTCTTCTAAAGATCGAGGCCCAAGGAACCGTGTTTAAAGAATCCTTGTTCTAATTATCCACGCCCCTAACCCTAAATCCTAAACCCTAAACCCTACAGTATCGGGCTGGGCTCTAGGATTCAGGTTTCGGGTGATATTCAGCTTTGCCCTGGGCTCTAGGGGTTTGGAATTTGGGGTGTTAGAGTCTAAGGTCAAGGGTTTGGAGTTTAGGATTTCGGGTTCAGGGTTTCAGAGCCGCGCGTTTACGGTTTCTGTTGGTCCAAGTCTCAATGTTGGATGTCACATGGCACGGACTACTTCTTAGGCTTAGTAGACCCTTGATGCTGATGGTACCCTTGTTCCTACCATTCGGCTTCAATACGGAGACCCCAAGATAAGGAAAGGGCAAAGAGGTACTACTGGGAGACCCCAAATCCTAAAGGCAAAAAATGTAGCGCCTTCATAAGAAAAAATAGGGTCATGGGGCAGAGTATACCATACTACACTCTAGCTGTAACGAGGAACCCTAAGGAATAACATTGGTAACTATCTTGGCTTCCAAAAAAATAATAGGATCAAAATCGCACACCCAGCATCTCTGCTAAACCAATGATCTCTTAAACTCGACATTGTCCTGAACACATAGCAGGACCCTCAACCCTAAACCCGAAGCCCTTCAACCCAAATCCCTCTCAGGCATAGACCGAAGAAGCCTAGGTGGCAGTCTCGCCAAACCTGAACACCCCGAGAAACCCGAAACGCACACTCGAAAGACCCTGGGAAATGATCAAAAAAAACACTTACACTAAACCCTAAACCCCCAAACCCTAAACCCTAATACACTAGAGCCTGCTTACCCGTCCAGCTGCCAATCTCCTCTTCCGTGAAGTAAACATCGCCAGCCTCGGACAAGCTTGTGGCTTTGAGTGGGTCTAGGGTTTAGGGCTTAGCGTGGCTTCAGGGTTTGTGGCTCAAGGCTTTAATGATTCAGGTTTTGAGATGAATCCCCAAACCCAAGGAGACGGAGCGTCTTTTTTTGGTAATCCTTCCCAAACTCCTGAGCGCTAAGCCCGAGTGCCCACAACCCCAAGCTCTAAACCCCAAATCCCTCAGCCCTAAAGCACATTCATTATAGCACCCTCATAGATCCCTTACAGGAACCCTTGTAGATCCCTTTGAAGGAAGCCTAACAGTACCCTTTAGAGGAACCAAAAAACCCTAAACCCTGAAAGTATCCTTTAAAGGAACCCTAAACCCTAAACCCTAATCGTACCCTTTAAAGGAACCCTAAACCCTAAACCCTAATCGTACCCTTTAAAGGAACCCTGTCGTCCTACTCAGAGGCCCTGTCAGCGGCTTCGGCGTCCGCAGCCTCTGCTTCGCTGGGCTCCGCGCCCTGGAACGGAGTCTATGTCTAGCTTTAGGGTTTAGGCTTTAGGCTTTAGGCTAAAGGGTTTAGGGTGTAGGGTATCATAGTAGTAGCAGTAGTAGTACCAGCAGCAGCAGCAGCAGCAGCAGTAGTAGTAAGAGGAGCTGCAGCAGCAGCAGCAGCAGCAGCAGCAGGAGCAGCAGTAGTAATAGTAGGTAACAAGTACAGGTACAAGTACACGTGCAAGCACAAGTAGTGGTACAAGTACTGACTGCTGCTTCTGCTGCTACCGCTGCTGCTACGCCTACGCCTACGCCACACCTCCACCATCCTCCGCCTACACTCTTCCTCCTCCTCCTGCTCCTCCTCCTCCTGCTCTTCCTCCGCTCTCTCTCTCTCGATGCGCAAACATCCGAAGACGTCTTTGCGTGGCCCCTTTGGGCGACCTAGAAGGCCGGCTATCTCAGTGGACAGCTAAACCAGGGCGTTAAAAGCGACTTGGCATCTAGCTTTTAAAGCGAAAGATGCACTCGTTAGCAGTGGTAGCTGAGCCTCACCCGGACCGATAGTCCCTTTGAGCAGTGGGCTCTTGCGACTGTACACTACGAAGCGGTTTACAACCGGACGTTTCGCAACTACCAGCTTCCTCAGATGACCCGATAGGTCCATATGAAAGAAAAATCATCTCAATCACCTCCGGTCGGGCTCGCGGCATTTTGCAGCAACCATGCAGAAAATCATCTCTGCCATACTGTACCTCTCACAGCGAATCAGCAACATGCAAGTTGCATTTGTTGATGTCATATGTGTGAGCGACGAACAGATTCAGCATGCTGTTGTTTTTGCTCCCATGCAAGCCGGTGTGTCCCCATTGCACTGCCTAAAACAGTTTCTCAAGCTTCTTGATATGGATCCTCAACAGCTCGATCCAAACAGTGCAGCTGAAAACCTTGCTCAGTCAAAAACTGCATGTCCTCAGAGCTGAGTCTCCATTCATCCCGAATATGATATGAGCCCAAGACAAATCTGTCCCCTGACCAAGGCAGAGCAGCATGGCGTAGTCGAGAGTTGAATCGTAAGCATGGCATGACAATTGAACGAATGCAGCCTTTGGGCCCACCAACTGTAAGCTGCACATCTCCATCTAGACATTCATGCCATAGCTCACCTCCCTGCCATGCACTCAGTGGTATCAGAGTGTTGTCGATCATGGGATGATTGTGCGAATCCACATGAACCTCACTGGCAACATTAAGGTGCAAAAACACACTGCTGAAAAGGGTTTCCGGACTCAATGTGCGAACAATTGCGCAGAGCAAGCGCGTAGTCCATACAAGCGTCTTGGTGCGCGTGTGCACTGAAGCAATCCCTCCATGAATACACGCTCCAAGCGTTATGGAGTGTGGCTGCATATCCATTCCAAACAAGGAAGTGACATGCCTTTCATGAGTTCTCGTGGGCAGGGCATCAAACAATCTGCGCACCTGACTGAAGTAGACCCACTTGCCTCGCAAGCATCCTTGCGCCAGTGCCTCTGCCGAATTGTCCGGCTCCGGGGATTGCCAGTCCCAGTCTTGTGTGACTTCTAGAGGAAATCCAGCATGATCCTGACCCGCATATAGGCTAAGCGCAGTCTCTGCGGCAATCATATGAAACTGCGTGCTGGCCGGCCAACTCTGCGCGTTCTGAGCTGGGCGGAGAAAATGCACAAAGTTTCTGCTGGTGACCTGGCTCTGAGGTTCACGCTTAGCTCGCTTGGCTGGTCCAGGCGTTGCGGAGTCCGAGCTGTACTCCTGGGAAGCCTCACCCCCTAAGCTGGCCTCGTGACCTTCAGGCTCTGTTAGGTCAATCATAATCCTCTCATCCGAAGCCGACCGCAAAGATTGCGCCCACATGATTACGCTCAATGCGTCACAGGCTGGGTGCTATGGCATCGACGAACAGAAACCCCTGGATGTAAGTGAAGAAAGCAGCGACATCTCAAAGATCCATTGCTCAATGCGTGCTTGGCAGCAGCAACATGTACATGTACAGCATGTACAGCATGCTGTCCTCCAGTAATCTGTGCACCCTCACTGCAGGCGCACTTGTAAACTGGCTGAGGAGCACGAGCAGGAAAAAGTCCATGTTGCTTGAGTTTCTGCACCTTAGAGTTGCAGGGATAAATTTGCTCGCCCATAGACTTCATGGCACATGTGTTAATTTTGCACCGACAGCAGCGAAGATCCACAGTGTCTGTTGCACTGCTCTGCTGGTGGAACCTGTGCTTGCCCCAAAAGCATATGTTTGCTGTTAGCATCCAGACATAGAAATCCTGTCCAGACCGCCCCGATAGGGCCTCTTAGTCGTCGAAGAGAGCAGAAAAAACTTCTTCCAAGTCCACTCTCTCAAAGTAGATATGGCAAAATCACTGCGGTGCCAAAGAGCGAAGAACCTTCACTCCTTGCTTCACAGCATTGCAAATTGCATGGAGTCACACTCAGCATCACTTGCCGCCAGGACTTTGCATGGTCTTCTGAACCAAATTTGCAACATTCGAGCGTCCCGGGCGTTCTGGCCTCCAAGCCATAGCCATCAGCTGAGTGATCGATGAGCCCGTCAAGGTCGCCATGTGTTGACGAAGCTGATGAGCCTCCTCTCCATACAAAGCAAGCTGCATGCTGAACGTGACGTTGGAGCCACGCATCTCCTCTGCCACAGTTCTGCTGGGGTGAAACCTTGTAACAGGACCCGTCTTCTGCACCAGCACGAGGATTGATTCAACAACCGCCACACCTTGCTCAAAGGAAATCCCTTCGCGCTTGGTGTCCTGCTTGAGGCGCTCAGCCTTGGGGTCCCATTTCAAGTAGTTCCACTTCATAGGAGCATCCGAGATCCACCCAAGCTTCTTCATACTGTCCTGGGTACGCTCCTGCTTGCCAAAGTCTTGGAGCCGCGCCGAGAATTCCCGAAAAACACATGTGAGCAAGTTTACTCGCATTGGCTTGTCCAAGGATTCAGGATCTGTCTCCTTTTGTTCCCTCCAGGCCTATTGTGCCTTGAAAACAGCAGGCACTATGGAGGCTGGTACTCCAATGCGACAGAAAATCGCATAGGATGTCTCGGGTCTCAGGGCCCCCAAATAATCTTCATGGCGCAGCGCCAGGCGTTGCAGCTGAAACATACTGCTCTTGAGCTCCTTAATCTCCTCCATGAGATCGGCCCGGGATCTCCGATCTTGGGAGTCGTGGCCCTCCCAAGAGCTCTGCTGCCAGCTGTCACCAAAGGAGCGTTTGGATCTGCCCCATCCAGCCCATGGATCATCCTCCTTTTGCGAGCCCTTTCCCCTATTCTGTCCTTTCTGTCCCGCCCCGATCTTTGCTGCCTTGTGTTCCCGTCCCTCGCCGATTCGGGACTCGGAGGAGGGCGCAGTGCTCGCAGCTTCTATTCCCGCAGGAAAATAAAATTTGAACATATCGTCCTCAAACTTGCTAACCGCATCTTCTTCCATCGCGGATGGAGCTGACTCAAGCTCAGTCATGGCAGAGAAAACGGGGTGCAAAGGAGGGGAAAGGAGCTAGCAACGACTCAGCACCGCTTCAGCCAGAGGATATAAACATTCGACTCAATGTCTCTGCTCATAGGTGTTGCTGTGGCATAGACTGAGTCATCTGTGTACATCCACTGATCTGCTACTCTGAGTAAGGCACGATAGTGTCCACTGTTGGTATGTCTGCCGATATGCACCACCACCGAGGTGACCTGGTATTGATCCCAGGCTACACGAACGTGTTGGACAATTCTTGGCATATACACTGGCCTGTCGAATCGGATCGGAGTGGTGAGCTTGTATGTCTGATGCAAGCGCAAGTACCTGTTGAGTTGAATACATACACAACTGCTTTCATGTGCCAGTGCTTGTACATCCCCACAAGTGTTCCAGTGTGTGATAACATCTTGCAAATCTCGCGCCTGTGGAGGTATGGGCATAGGGATCGGATGTCTCCTTGAGCTCGAAGTTGCAACCCTGCAAGACCAAATTTCCGGGCGTCCCACTGTACTGAGTGTAAGCGCTGAGCCTGCAGAAGCTGCTGCAAGTACTCCGCTGAGTCTTTTTGAGCCTCGTCATACACCCAGTGTGGCACAAGCATTCGAAAACGATTTCCTTGAGTGAGCTTCACCGGTAGGCTCCGTGCCGCCGCATGTCGTAGCATCACAAGAATGCTTTGCAAGGGTGCCATCGATATGCCAGCCTCTTCCAAGCTGTATGTCATAGATAGAAAACAGGCATTGATGTAGCATAAATTATGCGGATTACGAAGTTGAACACAGCACTGCCAAGGGCCTGTTGGTGGTGAAGACATAGCTGATGCAACGGGCTCGACCACGGATGACATAGGACCTGAGGGCGCTGCAGGTTTCTGGAAAAAGCATTTGATTGTACCATCCTGCTGACTTCGAGGCACCCGTTGATGAGCAACCGAGTGAGGTCTTGTAGGGTCCAAAGTGGATGCACCTGTCCCAATGCTTGATAGAGTGGTTGCTATAGTCTTGTCTGAGGCTTTGCCACGAAGTGCGAGAACAATCGGTGCCACATAGGTTTTGTACTGAGGATTCGACTTGTCCTGTTTTGGAGCCGCGGGTTGCACATAAGCATAGCGCTCCTGTGGGAAGTTGATTGAAATAAGATGTCTGACCGCCATAATCTGAAAGAAGCTGGGGCACTGACGAGAATGCGCGCAAATGTTATGAGCCTTACTACCACAAAACTGACAGGGCTTTTGAAAAATAGCTGAGAGGCTTCCTGCAAGCGTTTCTGAGTGTTTGGCCACCAGTTTCCATGCCTCCGGGTGTCCTGTACGCCAGTGTGTTTTGATATGACCAGGGCTTGCCAATCTTTGACCACATAGCATACATCGACTCATGTTGGCCCTGATAACTGCAAAGTGATGCTGTACTTGATGTGTGGGAACTCGAAGAACATCGTGTGCCCGCATGGCAAAAGGCTTGTCCTGCTGCCGCTCTGCTTGCGAATCACCCAGTGTAGGTTCCACGCTGTCCTGGTCAAGGCGCGCTAGTAGCTGGTGAACATCACCCCCACTGGCAATTTCCGCCTTGACTGCAGAGCACATACCTTGCGTCAGGTGTTTTCGCAGCGCCTGCCAATCACCACATCGCTGTCCACAGAATTTGCAAATTGGAACCCCATTTAAACAGTGCTTGGATCTGTCAAAGTCGACTCGGGCCTTAAGTTCAATGTCCTGATGTCGCTGATGAACATGCTGTTGAAAACCCAGTTGAGTGCCGAAGTAGACTCCACATACTGGACACGGAAATTCTTTCTCCACAACAACATTCTTCAACAAATGAGAATCTGCTCTAGTACTTGCCAACCTGCAGACTTGCTGATATGCAATATGTAGCGACTCAGCACGTTGTAGCTCATTGCACTGCAAGTGCGAGGATCTGGCAGTATCCATCTTCAAAGCTCGAAGTTGAGCCTCCATTCGCTTGCTGAGGTCAGCATAGACATCAATGCCAGCGCTTTGCAGAACCTGTTCATTGGATACTCCTTTCTCATGCACCCTGCAGATTTTGCGCATGTGCCTGGCAATTGCACTGGACAGAACCTTAACTACCTCCAAGTTACACCCAACACTCACAACTCCATACAGCATTGAGGGCAAAACACATGTCTTGTACAGTCGAAGTCTTCTGCACAAACTGAGTGCCCCATTGGTACGCAGCGGAGCCTTGAGCTGATTGAAGGCAATGTGTGCTTGCTGGACCCGGTGTTGCGCCGCCTGAACTTCAAATTTGCCGTAGCCCAGGCGCATTCCCAGGTATTCAAGCGTAGAGTGCACAGGAATGTAAAGAGTGCTGCCTGCATACGGAATCATCAAACACTGTTGTCCATTCCATTGCTTGGTTATCTGATGCATCTTCTTCAGGTGTAATTTGCCCTTTAGGGCAATGACAATCTTGGACTTTGAGCTGTTCACTGTCATTCCAAGACGAGTTATAACGTGGATGAGTTGTCCCAATTCTCGCCTGGCCTTGTCCAGATCTGCCGGACACCGAAGCTGCCAGAAACCATGCTTATCATCGGCATATATGGAAACATGCTGCTGCGGCCAACCTTGTCCGAGCTCTTGAGAAATTTGTTTACATAGGCGACACGTCCAGGCTGCATAGATCATGGGGGCTACTCCACATCCCTGCCTTAGTCCACTTCCCATTCCAACCGTCTGTTGGTGTCCCTTGTGAACAATATGAAGCTTAGTCTCAATGTGAATTCGAACAAGAACATTGGCCAAGTGTGTCGGCATTCCAGTGTCAGTTAAGGCCAGATACATTTCCTCGTGGGTGAGGGAATCAAAAGCCTTGGAGAGATCTAGGCTGACCATCATGCCTCCAAGCAGCAAAGGCTGCTTTTGTTGCAGGAGCCGTGAGGTGCGGTCATCCAAGCAACCATCCAACATTTTGCGAACCTGTTGACAGTGTTGACTGGCGCGCAGTAATGGATCCGCAGTGGAGGCCTGAGCACGATATGCATACTGCGGCACGTCCTGCAGCGCTTGTTGCACAAAAGGGTTTGCATGCTTCTTCAGGATACACAGCCATGCTTTGGTGTCCCCTCCCATCAAACCAATGGTACGCAAATTTGCTGGGTTAGCTGTGCTCTTTCCCGGCTTCGGAAGCCAGGCCAACTGAACTTGTGACCAGCCAGCAGGAATACACGGCGTGCTGCTACAGACAGTGTTCACAGCAACCTGCTGAAGAATGGGTGCAACCTCCGCGCTGTGAAGTTTCCAAGTTTGAATGCTAGCCTGACCCTTCGGCACAGCCTTATGACTCTTCAGCTGCTTGAGAGCCCATTCCCACTCAGACGGTATAAACCATTCCAGCGGTAGAGGCTCTTGCTGAGGTAGGTCAAAACATGCACCGGAGAACAAACTGCGAACATACGATGTCAGTTGCTGGCATTCTTGTTCAGGGCTTTGTAATTGTCCATCATTGTCTCGGAGACATATTTTCTTGCTCATGGTTTTCGGCGCAATCATGCGAATGTACTTGTAGTAGTCTCGAGATTGATGATGGGCATCCGCTGATTCTGCAAGCTCCAACACATTTAGCAATTGAGCCCTCTTGCGTTGCCTTGCAATGCGCTTGATCTCCCTGTGCGCTCTACACTTTAACAGCGCAAGCTGCCAAGCGCCAAAAAGCCTGCTTAGAGGACCCCTGGAAAATCTAGCCCTGGCCCTAGCAAGGTTCCGCCAAATCCCTCGAATTTCAACATCCACATTCCTAAGAGAAGGCTTAGGAGGCTTATTCGAGGGAACGTTGTGATATTGCAGAAGAGAGGCCTGCAACATGCCAATGGAGGGTTGAGCATCCAGCCGGAGCTTCTGCTGTGATGGGGCGGTCGTACTGGAAGCTTTGGGCGGGCTACTCTCAGATTTCCATGGCTGCCACGATTGCCGGATGCTGGCCTGGAGGATCTCATGTCCCGAAGTACGCCATCCTGCCACCGGCGCCTGGATCGTAGTGCAGCCTTTGGAGCCATGGTCGGCATGCTGTTGCCGGATGACCACATAGTCAATTTGGGAGTTGCCAGAGGGGTGCTTGTAGGTGTAGGTTTTGCGCCCCCATGTGTTCAAAGCCGTAAGCCTGTGTCTGTCCAGCATCTCCATAACTTCTGCTCGTTCCTGACGAAGATCCATGACATTATTCCCAGAGTGGATTCCAAACCCGGCCACTTTGGTATGAGGCTGCATCACCATATTGAAGTCACCCATCAAAATGATAGAGGTTCGAAACGGGAGTGCAGCAATGGCCTTGTCAAGTTGCTGCCACAGGGTCTTCCTGTGGCCCATCACTGTCTTTTTCTGATCATCATTGTGGTAGGAAAGAGAGTGCTGATACAGGTTGAAGAGATCAACCTGCTGTTTGCCCAAGTGTCCTCGCCAGTGGAGCAATCGGCCAGGCACTATCTCATTCCAGCTGTGATGATCTCCAGTCAGTAAATCCTTACGGATCCCCAAAAGAAGACCGCCCTGTTTAGGCTTGGAGGCAGCACTATGCAGAATATACCAGTCCCCCGAGGTCCACTCTCCTTGAAGAGACCAATGCGTCTCCTGCAGCATGAAAATTCCGACCTCTGGCTTGGCCTTGAGCCAGACCTGCAATTCAAGAAAAAGCTCCATAGACAATCCTGAGCAGTTCCAAGTGATGCATGATATTCTGGGTGGCTGCCATTCTTGAGCCTCACGTCTTGGTTCTGTGGGTAGCGTCGGCTGCCAGAATCGTATCCGCTTTCCACGATATATGGCTGATCCCTCGATCGCAGCTCGTCGGAGCGCGCGTTTGTAGGACCTTTTGCACACTCTCGAGGCCTCTTGTCGCTGCTTGGGCACCATTGCCTCATCGTTTGGCCCCCGAAGGGGCTTCAGTGGGGTTTGAGGCTCCTCCCACAACCCTCGTGCCTACCAGCGCTTTGGAGCTGCATCCTCGCCATAGTGTTGCTGGTACCCGGACTTGGGACCGGGCTGAGCCAGGCATACGCTTCGTCTCGCTAGCAACATTTGATCTCTCGGTCGCCTGTGCTTGCGAACTGGGGGTTGCTCCGGAAGTGAAGAATGTACTGAAAAGAGGCAGCTTGGTGCTTGTCATGCGCGCGGCTACAAGAAGCCAGCGCCACAGGTGCAGACTTCCCCAGGAAGCCAAGCTGTGTTCCCTTCCGGTTCGGGCCTGGTTTACAGAGCCTTTAGGTTGAAGATGGTATCTCCAGGCTTTCGCATTTCTCCCCCGTAGCCTGAGCCGCTCATGGCACTGTGCTCTTCCTCCTGCTCCTCCTCCTACTCCTACCCCTACCTACTCCCACTGCTGCTGCTAGTACTACTACTACTGCTGCTACTACTGCTACTGCTACTGCTGCTGCCACTGCTACTGCTACTGCTACTGCTACTGCTGGTACTGGTACTGGTGGCATTGAGCCCTGATGCTCGAAACCCTGGCTGATTGAAAAAGCTCCTGACACTCTTCTTCACTCATTCACGTGAAAAGTTAGGGCTTGGGGCTTGGCAGTCAGGCTTTAGGGTTTCGGATTTAGATTAAGGTTTAGGGTTTAGGGATTAGGTTCTAGGGACTCTCACTTCAAACCTTTGTATGTCTGTGTGCATGTTTCGGATGGTTTAGGGCCTCCCAAGCATCAGATGCAGGGCAGCTGGGCGTCGAGGGTGGCCAGCCGAGCGGAACCTGGATGGACCCGACATGGAGCTTAAGCAAAGCACTTCAACTCCACGGCATGTTGGGATGTTAGCATCAGTTCCAGTTCCACGGGCCTCCGCATCGCGAGAGAGTTTGGTTGAGATTTAGGGCCTCGGGTTCCGTTTGCACTGCCTAATTAAGGGTGGGTCTGCGACGATGAGGGGAATCTTCGTCACTGAAGATTTAAGTGGCAGAGGATATGTGAAAAACGACAAGGTGAGACTGCGGGAGTGCCTGTTTAACTGGCACACGCGTGCATACGGACACGACGACACCCCCTAAACCCTAAAGCCCAAACCCTAAACCGTGAACCCTAAGACCTAAACCCTAAACACTAGACCCTAGACCCTAGACCCTAAAGCCTCGACCCTACACCCTAAACCCCAAGCCCTGCAGATTCGGGCTGCAGAAAGGAAGGTTTGGTGTTTCCGCATCCGAAACCCAGAAGCCAGGGTTCAGGGTTTAGGTAAACCCTGAAGCCAGGGTTCAGGGTATCTTGCTCCATACAGCACACTCTGATATCTCCAAAATAGGTGCATTAATACTTACAGTAGGGTTCTGGCGTATATTGTAATATACGTAGAAGAAGGAACCCCAAGGAATAATGTCGGTAAGTATTTAGGCTTCTACATTACAGCCTGACTGGCGGAACCCCCGGCCTTCCAAGCCATGCCGCAGCCATGTCGATGCTGCGAGGGCCAGATCACGGATGAAGAAAGAGGGGAAGTCTGAAGGATAAAAGTCTTACCACTTAGAGCTTGAGGCTGAGGGACTTAGGGACTTCAGGATTTGAGGGGGTGTTGCGGCACCTCTTGAAAGTTTGAGCATACGGGTGTTTTTGGATGTCTCATCCATCAGCACTACTGTCTTCATGCAAACTTGCTGTCTTCGCCCAGAGTGTCTTGCCACGCACGAAACAGTCAGTCACGGAAAGTCTGTCAAATAGGCCACTTCGCATGTCCGGAAATCCCGAGGCTTGCCAAACACCGTAAATACCAGCATTTTCGAGCCCGAAGACCCCTCCCCCACTCAGCAAAAAGAGTCAAAACCATACAAAACCGCAAAAACTTGCTTGTTGGACCCCAGTGGCCAAAACATACGACGAACTTTGCATGTGTAGAGGCAAACGGATGTTCTTAAACCCATTCGCCAATGACCTCGGACGGAGAGTGTCATACCTTCCGCGGCGGCGAAGGGCGGCACGGCCAACGACAACAACAACATTAAGGATACCACTCGGTGTCATCGCAGCCCTGGGCCCCGAATCCTAAGCCAACTACAGTAATCTCTCAGGTTCCCTCAGTGCCTTGAGTGGCTATCCCCGCAAAAATCACCAAACTTCAAGTGAGTCAATTGGTTTGACTGGAAGCCTCAAACCAGAAGCCTCAAACGACCTAAGCCTGAATCACTCCTTGACTCCCGGAGCCACGAAATCGCAATCATGCAAGGGCCTCAATAATTAGAACAGGGTTTTGGGGGCATCTTATACTATAATTGTAGTAAGGAGCCCTCCAAAAGAGTACAGGTAATTATTCAGGCCCCGATGTTACAGTTCAAGCGTATGTTGAGAGCTTAGGTTTAGGGATTATGGTTTGGTTCGAGGTCAAAAGAAGCAAGGGCTTGGCCCTTCAAGAGTTCGCATGCAAACACGCGAAGCCCTGAACCCTCAAGCTCAACCCCTGAGCCCTAAAACCCCAAACCCTAAGATCCCAAACCCTAAACCCTAAACCCCAAACCCTAAGATCCCAAACGCCTTGAAGCCCTAACCTCTTACCCCCACTTCGATTTCAGGGCTGCTGCTTCGGGTCGGACAGAGAGGCAAAATAGAAGTGCCTGCACATCACTAGAATGGGCTGTGGGGGGCATATGTTAGCAGGGACAATAAGGGGATAGTAGTACCAGATTTCTTGAGCCACCAAAATAATCCCTTACCCAAAAAAATATCCTATATGTCTGATCTCCGCGGAACCTGTCAGACGAAAGGAACCGTTCAGGGTAGTTTAGGGTTTTAGGTTTTGGGGCAACAGGAGACAAAACAGTCAAAGTCCAGGATTTGGATGAATAAGGATTAGGGCTTTCGTGTATTGTTGGGGCTGGGTGGCTTAGGGCCTCGGGGTTTTGGCTTTAGGGCTGCAGGATTGTAGGGCCGAGGGTCCTTCTCGACACCTCCGCCCTAAAGCCTAAAGCCTAAACCCTAAACCCTGAAACCTAAACCCTAAACCTCGAACCCTGAAGCGCGAACCCTGACAGCTTCGCTCTTTTGCCCCGCTGATTGCCATTGCCGGCACCGTTCAACCGTTGTCGGAGTCGGCTGCTACCCTTGGGGCATAATGCTATAGCCATAGGGCTTTATGGTTCCATAAAGTGTCCGATTTAAGGCGAATTAACAAGGTCCTATAAGGGCTTGAACAACTGTGCAAATAGGATTTTGGGTCTTTGATACATTCTAGTTCAAGTATACTGAGAAAGGAACGGGATACTTTTGCTAAGACCTCCATAACCCCTAAACCCTAAACTCCACGAGCTCAGGGGCCAATAGAATAGGAATCCGTGGCTCTTTTGCAATGCAGAGCCTGGGGGACTGGTAGTCTCCAAGCCCTACTTGGAGGGCCGGGGGACTGAGTAAGTAGCTATTTCATAGAGTTGTAGGTATCATAACTCCAAACAGCATCCCTTGTGGGGCGCTTGTAACTCTACTTACTACCTACTTGCTAAGTCCGGCTAGCCTCGGAGTAACCATCCGACTAGTCAAAAGTCACTATTCTTGCTGTTGTTCTACTTCAGAACTACCTTGTGCTTTGTTATCGTGTACGGCCTATACAGGGTTTAGGGTTTAGGGGTTTAGGGTTTAGGGGCTTTACTGTCGGATTAGACTACGGCTATACAGGGACTATAAGGGTTTAGGGCCCAACGTTTTGGCTTTAGGCATTTGGGAAAAGCCACCCGCAATCATTGACCTGTGCACATCTCAGGAACTGAGGCCTCTGCTACCGCGGCACCTCTCCCCAAACCACCCAATTAATTAAAGGAAACTGCAGGTGGGCAGTTTAGGGTATATAGTGCTTCTATAAGGCTTCTATAAGGTATATAGACCTTCTAGAAGGCTCCCATAACCGTAACTACCCACCTGAAAATGTCCAAGACCCAAGACTCTGAACCACCGGGCTCGGGGTTGAAGATCTAAGTTCCCTAAACCCTAAACCCTAAACCCCAAGCCCTAAACCCTAAACCCTAAACCCCAAGCCCCAAACAGCCAAGCCCTCAACTCCTCAGGCCTTAAGCTCTGACTAAACCCTCACCTCCTCACATCTTCAACCCCAAAACCTTAAAAAACCTAGGCCCTAAAACTTAAGCCCGAGGAAAGCCTTGCACCAATGCGTAAAACAACCTTCTTTAAATCCTCATAACACCGTTGCACCTGGGAATTAACCCCTTTAAAACTCTGACTCCACTACCACCCAGCAAACCCTGCGAAACCTATTCAAACCTGCTAGTCTTGGTGTTCTTAATCCCCCTTATGGTTTTCCTATGCACCCTTGTCAAACCTCGTCTTCCTGAGACATAGCCGGCTGAATTCTGAGGGCCGACGCTTGCAGCCAGCTGTGCAAGTATAGTTTAGGAACTAATATTGGGTTTGGGGTTGAGGGTTGTGGATCTAATGCAGGGTTTAGAGTTTAGGGTTTAGGTTCAACGCAAGGGCCTCGACAACTAGAAGCGGTTCTGGGGTAAAGCCTGTGCAGGGACTGCAAGCGAAAGGGGAATGCGGCTGCAAAGTCAGAACTTCATGTTACCTTGCTTATGGGGTCTTTATATGCGGTCCACCTTACACTGACTCAGTGTTTATGGGCATGGGGTTGTGGATGTCGAGCTTGGGATGCCATGACCCATATTTCAAGACCCGCTTGGAAGTCTAGTTGGGTCTGGACGAAGATTCCGA